TAGACTTCAGATCCACACTCTTTTTATACTACAAGCCAGACTGCACGGATCCTCAACCACTCCACAGACCATCCTGATCACATGGAGCGTATATATAATTCATGTGAAGATAGAAAAAAGTGCTTCTCCTAGTGTAGACGATTCACAAAGCATTTATTAAAAATGAGGAAACGCACTTACAATTGAATAAAAAATACTCCGCTTTCTATAAAATCACCAAACGGCAAGAATCGGGATCAACGCTTATATGATGATGTCATAAGAGAGGCTCTTCCCAACGCGTTTCGTCATAGCAGACGTCTTCCGGGTCTAGTACATAGCTTCCTGAAAACCTCACAGCCAAGGGTGGACTGACAACTCATGGGGCCCCCAGGCAATAGGGGATCATGGGGCCCCTGTGTCCTCACCCACACTCAAACCACACCCAAAAAAGCCTATGATAGGTACCAGGGGACATCTCATTCGGCCCCATACTGACCCCGGGCTCTTGGGCAGTGCCCGAGTTCCCCAATGGTCAGTCTGCCCCTGCTCACAGCACTTTTGTATACTGTAAAACACTGCAAACTGTTGGCGCTATAGAAATCCTTTTTATAATAATAATAATAATGATAGATGGAATATTAAAAAGAATAATATTATAAACATGTGCCAAGGCAGGTTTGAAGCTGGTTGGTGACTTTGGGACCCGTTTGCATGGTTTTTTTTTTTCCTACATCATGAGGAAAGGACCTCTGTGATAGATGTGTTTAGGAATTCCTCCTTTGCAGGGGTTCTTGCATCATTCGATTACCAGGAAAGAGGAGCAAAAGGGGGGCTGCTGTACTTCATTAATACCTGGATGACTAAAATGAAGTCTAGCATGGACCTTCTATGGTACCAGCAATTCCTGACCCTCGTGTCCATCTACAGAGACCAGGCAATGGTTTCCTGGACTGTTAAAAGCTGCTGCAGGAGATTGAGGGAGAAGGGGGTCTGTAAGGATGGACGTTGGCCAGGGGCGGACTGACCATTTGGAAACTTGGGCACTGTCCGAGGGCCCGGGATCAGTAGGGGGCCCCATGAGATGCCCCTGGTACCTTTTTCATAGGCTTTTTTGAGTTTGGGCAAGGACACAAGGGCCCCATGATCCCCTATTGCCCGGGGGACCCCATGAGTTGTCAGTCCGCCCCTGACGTTGGCTCAGGTATGAGTCCTTATTGGCGTCTTCATCAATATGAGGGGCTGTTGCCAGCATCTCTGAATTCTGTCATGTGTTTTGGATCCTAAGACCGCTTCAAGTGATCTAGATGACCTCCTAGCTGAGAACAAGCGTGTTCTGTCTCCGGAGGCTTCTGACCGGCAGCAGCCAGAAATGAGTTTCTACACGGAGCGACTGTGGTTTATATAGCTAAATATATTGCGTCTACCTGCGGGGTGCCGTTTTTAAAAGAAGAACATTTTGTAACACAGATGGATTGTTTTCAGGCAGATGTCACCCCAAGCACTAACATTTCATATCATCCATTGCCCATTCAGAAGTCTTTTCAGCATTTTTAAATCTGCAGCTTTTACTAAAATAATATCTAGTGATCCTGCCCAGGGGTGGACTGATCATTCGAACACTCGGGCACTGCCCGAGGGCCCCGGGGTCAGTAGGGGGCCCCATGAAATGCCTCTGGTACCTTTTTTCATTGGCTTTTTCATAGGGTTTTTTGGGTGTTGGTGAGGACACAGGGGCCCCATGATCCCCTATTGCTCGGGGGCCCCATGAGTTGTCAGTCCGCCCCTGATCCTGCCATAAAGGTTCTTGTTCAGGCACTTTCTGTTTTAGGGAGACCGCATTCTGTTGCTCTCTTAATGTTCACCTGCATTATTACTCTTCAGTTGACTTCTTTTGGAGACTTCCAGTGACCGTTTCAACACGCATTAATACCGACATGGTCAACGGTTGTCACCACCAGGGAGCCCGTCCTGAGGAATACCATGCAGCCATTGCTGGAGTGTGTTTAGGGAAGTGGTTTTAATGACTGAAAGGGACAAGTTGGGGATACTGAGTTGAGGAGGAAAGCGCCAGATGATGCTGGACATCCACTATCCAGGAACTGAGATATGCTCTATCTGATTTGCTGCAGCTTTTAATGCATACTCATATGCAACTCAGTGTGCAGTGAGAGTAAGCAGTTTCACTACAGGAGAGGAGCATGTAGAAATGTGCAAAACGAAAAGTAAAGCCTGAATCTTGCCAGAGAGATAAATTAAATATATTTTTTGCTAAATTACACCTGGACGTCTTTGATGATTTATGATTAGTTTTCAGACACTAGTTCATTTCTCTAAACCAGTGGTTCCCAAACTGTGGCCCGTGGGACAGATGCAGCCTTTGCTAGGCTTCACCCATAGTCCCTGGGGCACTATTCCTCCAACTTAATTGAGGCACTTTTCTTCCCATTGATGTGAATAGTGGGGCACGATTCCTCCCACTGGCGCCAATGATGGGGCATGATTCCTCCCACTGATACCAATGATGGGGCATGATACCTCCCACTGGCACCAATGATGGGGCACTATTCCTCCCACTGATACCAATGATGGGGCACTATTCCTCCCACTGACACCAATGATGGGGCACTATTCCTCCCACTGATACCAATGATGGGGCACTATTCCTCCCACCGACACCAATGATGGGGCACTATTCCTCCCACCGGCACCAATGATGGGGCACGATTCCTCCCACCGGCACCAATGATGGGGCACGATTCCTCCCACCGGCACCAATGATGGGGCACGATTCCTCCCACCGGCACCAATGATGGGGCACGATTCCTCCCACCGGCACCAATGATGGGGCACGATTCCTCCCACAGGCACCAATGATGGGGCACGATTCCTCCCACCGGCACCAATGATGGGGCACGATTCCTCCCACCGGCACCAATGATGGGGCACGATTCCTCCCACCGGCACCAATGATGATGGGCACGATTCCTCCCACCGGCACCAATGATGGGGCACGATTCCTCCCACCGGCACCAATGATGGGGCACGATTCCTCCCACCGGCACCAATGATGGGGCACGATTCCTCCCACCGGCACCAATGATGGGGCACGATTCCTCCCACCGGCACCAATGATGGGGCACGATTCCTCCCACCGGCACCAATGATGGGGCACGATTCCTCCCACCGGCACCAATGATGGGGCACGATTCCTCCCACCGGCACCAATGATGGGGCACGATTCCTCCCACCGGCACCAATGATGGGGCACGATTCCTCCCACCGGCACCAATGATGGGGCACTATTCCTCCCACCGACACCAATGATGGGGCGCGATTCCTCCCACCGGCACCAATGATGGGGCGCGATTCCTCCCACCGGCACCAATGATGGGGCGCGATTCCTCATGACCACAAGCGCTATCTAAATTTCTTATTCCCAATGACCACCATAGCTGAATCATTGGCTGCTCCCATTGATGCCAGGACCTTTTTTTTTTTTTTTTTTTAATCATCACTGGCCACAAACCATTCCCTCCTCCCCCACAAAGTCTGAATAACCGTAAAGTGGCCCTTTGTTTAGAAAGTTTTGAGATCTCTGTTGAAAACTATGATGGTTATTTTTTACTACATGTGCTGTAAGCTCTTGGTGCAAAGAACATGGAGGGAAGAAGGGCCCTCCAGCATTGGTGGCCAGTGGGAAGAGTGGCCAGATCATTGGTATCATAATTTACTTATCTGCGATAAAATATGCTGCACTGGGTCCACACTGTGTTATGCTGAGTAATATCCACCCCAAAACGTTAGGAGCACCATCCAGTGGAGAGTCAACCTGCCACTGTTAAGGAAGCCTTAGCAACCTCTAGAACAGTCCTCTCAACCAGAACCCTTGAAGTAATTTTAAGGTCTAAGGGAACCCCTGCTGAATAAAATTAATTGGGGGTCAATGGGAATAATATCCTTTACATTGGTGGTCATTTGGGAAAAGTGTCCCATACATTGGTGGCCAGTGGGAAGAATGTCCCTTACATTGGTGGTCACTGGGAAACATGCCCCCTTACATTGGTCATTGGGAAGACTGCCACTGGTGGCCAGCGCGTAGACTGCCGCCGTTTACACTGGTGGCCAGCGCGTAGACTGCCGCCGTTTACACTGGTGACCAGCGCGTAGACTGCCGCCGTTTACACTGGTGGCCAGCGCGTAGACTGCCGCCGTTTACACTGGTGGCCAGCGCGTAGACTGCCGCCGTTTACACTGGTGGCCAGCGCGTAGACTGCCGCCGTTTACACTGGTGGCCAGCGCGTAGACTGCCGCCGTTTACACTGGTGGCCAGCGGGTAGACTGCCGCCGTTTACACTGGTGGCCAGTGGGAGGAATTCCAAGTACCACGTGGCTCTGTCAAGTGGCCTTGGACCTGAAATGATGCAGGCATCATCAGATGGGAGTTAAATAAGCCACAGCTCAAGGACTTCTAGCATGAAGGAACTCTAGTTCAGAATGGTTGCCCTAGAGGAACCCTGGTTGGAAAAAAGCTCATCTAAAGATATCCTTGAGAACGTGAACAGCACTTTCATTGATACAGAAAACACCTTCTGTCAGGCAGTAACCAACCACTGCTCTTGGAACTCCTTGCAACTTATAGAGGAACCCTAGTTGTAAAAGGTTTATCAAGATAAAGATATCCTTGAAAATGTGACTGGAACTTTCACTGACATAGTCATTTGTTTCACAAATGCTGTATTTGAATAACTCCATTGCTTGCGAGAGAGCCATTAATTGTGGTGTTTTTTTTTTTGTTTTTTTTTTTTTTTTCAGGGTGCCACAGCGAGCCTGGCATGGCCGGAGGGATGTGTGTTACTCTACTGCTCCTGCTCAGTGCCATAACCGCAGAAAGCAGGAAAAGTTTGAGAAGACGTGGGCAGCAGCTGGTTCCCAGTAGCCGGGAGCGGACTGACGGGGGTGGAGAGAGCTTCCCATTGGATTTTACAGCCGTAGAAGGGAACATGGACAATTTCATGGCTCAGATTAAAAACCTGGCGCAGTCGTTATACCCGTGTTCAGCCCAGCGGCTGGATGAGGAGATGAAGTTGCATCTTTTGCACAACCAGTCCATTACCTGCAATGACGGGAGCCCAGCTGGGTAAGTCCTTGTGGGGTCTGGTGGGAAAAAAAGAGATGAGCTTAACAAACCAGACCTAGGAAAGTCTTCTCTTTTTGAAAGCCAGGTTTTCACTTTTTAGGTTTTCATCCTTTACAAATATCTGCAGTGTAATGGCAGGGACATAGTTATCAGCAGTCAGTCAGGCAAAGCAGCCGATTGGATATATGCCGCAAGAGACTTTAGCAGAGACCATGTGACCAGGAAGCACCACTCCCGTTATACCACAGAGGTTGTCCAATACTGAAGCCCAATGGTACTTATGGATTAAATTGGGTAAATACATTCGACATGTGTGGGAACAATAGGTGGTTAAAGTTCTTCAGTTTGTGAATAAGCACAGCTACAGGTGCATGACCCACACCAGCTTGCTTCAACGAAGGCCCTGGCTCTCTGGATGGAAGCAGTGGTCTCTCTGAAGTGGTCACACACGCTCCTCGCTGAGTAAGGACCCTTTCACACAGGCAGCCTATCTGTTTTTTAGGCGGAACCGATCAGACTACCCATTGTCCTCCATGGGGAGGTGGATATAAATGGACGTGTTCTTTTTTACACCTGCCTGCATCTGATCCAACCCACTAAAACCAAATGGATGGGGATCCGTTCCCCACCCATCTAGTGGATCGGATGACAGTTGGATGAAAAATGGACAGGTGGTCGATTTTACATCCAACCGCCCCTAGAGAACAGTGAGCCTTGTCTTTGTCCCCTCTGGAGCGGACAAGGACCTGTCATCCGCCTGTTCAGCGAGGATCAGCAGACCGATAACCCGCTGAGCAGGCAGATCTGCTTGGCGGAGTTTGCCCATGTGAAAGGGCCCTAAGAACTACACAACTCCAGTCAGTAGGAAGCATGAATTTTGTGGATTGGAGAACTGTGGCTTTGACTATTCAGGGGGTTGATCAGATCACTGCAGAGAGACCACTGTTCCACACAAGAGGGAAAGGGTCTTTCTCTGAACCAAGCTGGCGTGGGACATACATTTTATTTATTGTTTTCTTATATACTGTAAGATGTATTTATTAAAAAAATTACATAGCTATTCGTCAATTTGTTCTGTACAAATGACGCAAAAGCAAATGTTCTCGGGTTATTTTTGATACAGGTCAAATGTTTTTTGGGGGAAAAAAGTGCTTTGGGCAAAAAGCACATTTTGGACACTAAATGGAGCTGAGGGTAAGGCCCCTTTCACACAGAGCGGACCTGTTAGCGGATCTGCTTGCCCAGCGAGATATCTTTCTGCTGATCCCTTGCTGAGCAAGTGGATGGCAGTTCCGTGTCTGCTTTGCCTATGCAGAGCAGACACGGAATGGAAAAACAGAATGGTTGGCTGCACAAACAGCAATGTGGTGGATTCACCACATTGCTGATTGTGTGGCCAACCAATGTGGTGGATCCACCACATTGCTGTTTGTGTGGCCAACCATTCTGTTTTTCCACTGCATCTGTGATCACGGATCGGGCCAGCACCTGCGTGTCTGTGGAGGGGTTATGCAGATTCGGCACTCATCTGGAGCGGATCTTTTGCTCTTTGAACAGACATGGACACAGCCCGCTTTCCTCTGAGTGGTTGGATGTAAACTGACCACCTATCCTTTTTTCCGTTCAACTGCCATCTGACCCGACCTGACGGATGGAAGGGGAACAATTCCCATCTGTCTCTTTTTGGCAGATCGGATAGGATTGGATGTCGGTTTACACTCGCCATAGAGGAAAATAGAGCTTCTGATTGGGTCTGCCTGAAAAACAGGCAGGCGGACCTGATTGGAATGTCCTTGTGAAAGGGGCCTAAGTATTTCCTATGATCCTCAGCCATAATGTGGTATCTTCCTGAACTATTGAACCATTTTCTTGTATGAATTAATAACATTTGATGTAAAGGAAATGGGGGAACATTTGATTTTTGCCCCATTCACTCAGGATGAATGGACCAGTTTTGCTGGACAAATAGCTATTTTGCAATTATTAGCCATTAAGTTAAATAGCAATTTTAGAGATTCTGTAAGTGCGTTTTTCTCTTGGTTCCTAAAGGAAGGAAGAGCTGCTGATTGGTTAATGTGCCAATCTCCTAAATTGAATACTCAGTACAATTAGTTAGCTGTACCCAACAGATCCCGGCATCCTTGGTAGATGGTGGGAAGTATGCTGTATATGCAACTATCCCTTTTACTGACTGCTAGAACATGCTGGGAGGAGGAGCAGCTATAGGTATTAATTTAGCTAGTCAAATTAATGCCAAAGACCTCAATGTTGGTCTCATCTGACCACAGCACTTTCTCCCAATCTTTCTCTGAATCATTTTAGATGTTCATTGGCAAACTTCAGATGGACCTGGACATGTGCTTTCTTGAGGAGGGGGACCTTGAGAGCGCCGCAGGATTTTAATCCATGGCGGTGTATTGTGTTACCAATGGTTTGTTTGGTGACTGTGGTCCCAACTGCCTTGAGATCACAATCTCCTCCCGTATAGTTCTGGGCCTATCGCTCACTTTTCTCATCATCCTTTCCCCATGAGGTGAAATCTTGCATGGAGCTCCATGACCGGGGGGGGGGGGGGGGGGGGGGGGGGGGGGGGGGGGTTTTTTTGTATTTCTTCCATTTGCAAGAAATTGCTCCAACAGTTATCTCCTTCTCGCCAAGCTTCTTGCTGATGGTCTTATAGCCCATTCCAGCCTTGTGCAGGTCTTCAATCTTGTCCATGATGTCCTTTTGACAGCTCTTTGGTCTTCCCCATGATGGTGAGGTTTGAATGGAAGAAAGAGATTCTGTGGGCAGGTGTCTTTTATACACGTAATGAGTTGTTGTTAGGAGCACCTTCTTAAATCAACAGGACTAACCTGTGTACCACACGAGCACATAGCCAGTCAATGGGAGCCAGAATTATTGTTGGTTGGTAGAGGATCAAATACTTGTTTTGCTCACTGAACTGCAACTTAATTTATAACATTTGTATCGTGTTTTTTCCAGATTTTTGGCTGATATTCTGTCTCTATCATTTAAAATACACCTATGATAGAAAAATTATTTTCCCCATTGTACGGATCACTGAAACAGTAAATGTGTGGGTTTTTTTTTTTTTTTTTTTTTCAGTGGAGGACACTGAGTGGAGGTCAGTGGAGGGATTGGCAGAGAGGGGTGGAGGACACTGAGTGGAGGTCAGTGGAGGGATTGGCAGAGAGGGGGTGGAGGACAATGCCCCCACTAGCCTCTACTCAGTGTCCTCCACCCTTCTCTGCCAATCCCTCCACTGGCCTCTACTCAGTGTCCTCCACCCCTCTCTGCCAATCCCTCCACTGACTTCCAGTCAGTGTCCTCCATCCCTCTCTGCCAATCCCTCCACTGGCTTCCTATTGCCCAACGAATAAAATTCAAAACATTACCAATAACATATAAAGCCATTTATAACTCTGCCCCAAATGACATCACCAATCTTGTCTCCAAATATCACCCAAACCATCCTCTCTGCTCCTCCCACAACTTCCTGCTCCCTAGCTCCCTTGTTTCCTCCTCCCATGCTCTTCTCCAGAGCCTCCCCCATCCTCTGGAACTCTCTACCCCAATCTATCTGACTATTGCCTACTCTGCCCACTTTCAGGCGATCTCTGAAAACCAATCTCTTCAGGGAAGCCTATCCTTCCTTCAGCTAATACCCGAATCTTCTATTTCTCCCATCAGTTCATCCCCCACAGTTATTACCTTTTTTTTTTTTTTTTTTTTTTTTTTTCCACCAGACCCCTCCCTCTTAGATTGTAAGCTCCCAGGATCAGAGCCCTCCTAACCCTCTTGTATTCAACTGTATTGTTGCTGTACTGTCTCCTTTTTATATTGTAAAGCGCTGAGCAAACTGTTGTCGCCATATAAATCATGTATAATAATAATCATGGTGTTCCAATGTCAAAACTGGCAGGTACAAGTCTACAATTTTTTCACCTAAGTGTACATCACCTCCTCCTCCTCGGCTTGTATACCTGAGCACATCTGATGCAAAAAAAAACAAAAAAACTTTCTGCTTTCCTACTGCAATGGCAGCTTTCAATTTACTGATCTTCCATGAACTGTGCTGTTGGTCAGTTATTATATTTAAAAAGTAATGGCAGCGCCTCGATTTTATCCCGTGATGGATTTACTTCATGGCACATAATAAATAAAGTACAGAAAGCTCAAGAAAAACGTTATTTTTCTTAAGCTGGCCATTCAAATCTTGGTCAGTTCAGCAGGGACTGGCCTAGATTTGGCCCATGTATGTGCACACTGTACCCAAAGTTGATACATTGATCGACTTTGGTACAACCAACATGTCGGATTTTTACATGTGATTATAACCGCTAGCAATAATCGTGTTCTCCCGGCAGGACCGGCCCCCTGTGCCCCCCTTCCTTCCTGGGAGAACATAATAGCTTCGTAGGAGGGATTCCCCCATCAACACGGATTGTTGATGGGGGAATTGAGCCATTTTCTATAGGAAAAATAATTGAAGTCATCTATGGCCTGCCTTACAAGGTGAAACTCAGAATGGTCTGGGACATTGATAACATGGTTTCTGTCACAGCAGTCACATGATTGGAAAGCCCTCAATAGCAGGTAGCGATCGGGACCTTTCTGTGAGCCGCCGGTAAACGTGCTGGGAGCGCGCAGGGGGCACAAGTTTGCATTGGGTATGCAAATATGCAGCCTCTCGGAGTCGAAGCTCATCCGCTGAGAGGCCACATATTTGCATACCATCGGCACCAAGGAGTTAAAGGTGAATGCATGCCCCTGTGGCAGCTTGCAGGGTTCTTCCCTGCAGCAGCTGTCACTTTTTTGATATTGCAATCTATGAATGAAAGAACTACAGATACCATCTGCCAACGTAGTTCTTGGTGGAATAAAAGCGTGGTAGTCCCCACATTTTGTAGTCCATTGACCCTTCATCCAGGTCAGTAATTAAAAGTTGACTAGAGCAAACTGCAAAAAAAGGTCGGTGTATATAAATGTGTGTGTTCACCCTGTGTACAGCATATCCTTCACAGGATCATTGAGATCATAATAGATACCCATTTGCATCCATATTGATGTATTTTGTACTCTGCTTTGGATTTATATACACCAACTTTTTTTTGCAGTTTGCTCTAGTCAACTGCTTCCTTTTTTATATGCTGTTTGTTCGCTTAATAATCCACACCTATATTTATGGTGAGTTAGAGAAGTTACAATAGGTATTTATACCTTTTTTGATGTGGCATTTATTATTTTTTGACCGTAATTAAGCGTTCATACATCCATATTGACATAGGGTTGGCGGACGCGTGACATGGCACTCGCCATCCACTGATCACAGGTGCAGTGCTTTGCAGGCTCCTATGCAAATAAAAATGCACATTTCCTGCAAATATATGTGCCTTTCTCCCTTTTTTCCTTTTCTCTCCTTTTTTTTCCTTTTCTCTCCTTTTTTTTCCTTTCTCTCCTTTTTTCCTTTCCTTTTCTTTTTTCCTTTCTCTCCTTTCTCTCCTTTCCTTTTCTTTTTTTCCTTTCTCTCCTTTTTTCCTTTTTCTTTTTTCCTTTCCTTTTATTTTCCTTTTTTCCTTTCCTCCTTTCCTTTTTTCTTTTCTTTTTTCCTTTTTCCTTTTCCTTTTCCTTTCCTTTTTACCTTTTTCTTTCCTTTTTTCTTATTCCTTTCCTTTTTTCCTTTTTCTTTCCTTTTTTCTTTTTCCTTTTTCTTTTTTCCTTTTCCTTTCCTTTTTTCTTTTTCCTTTTTCTTTTTTCCTTTTCCTTTCCTTTTTTTCTTTTTCCCTTTTTTTTTTTTTTCTTTTTTCTTTTTCCTTTTTTCCTTTTTCCTTTTCCTTTCCTTTTTTCCTTTTTCCTTTTCCTTTCCTTTTTTCCTTTTTCCTTTTCCTTTCCTTTTTTTCTTTTTCCCTTTTTCCTTTCCTTTTTTCCTTTTCCTTTCCTTTTTTCCTTTTTCTTTCCTTTTTTCTTTTTCCTTTTTCTTTTTCCTTTTTTCTTTTTTCCTTTTCCTTTCCTTTTTTCTTTTTTCCTTTTTCTTTTTCCTTTTTTCTTTTTCCCTTTTTCTTTTTCCTTTTCCTTTTTTCTTTTTCCCTTTTTCTTTTTCCTTTTTTCTTTTTTTCTTTTTCCTTTTTTCTTTTTTTCTTTTTCCTTTTTTCTTTTTTCTTTTTTCCTTTTCCTTTCCTTTTTTCTTTTTTCCTTTTCTTTTTTCCTTTTCTTTTTTCCTTTTCTTTTTTCCTTTTCTTTTTCCTTTTTTCCTTTCCTTTTTTCTTTTTTCCTTTTTTCTTTTTTCCTTTTTCTTTTTCCTTTTTTCTTTTTTCCTTTTCTTTTTTTTTTTTTTTCCTTTTTTCCTTTCCTTTTTTCTTTTTTCCTTTTTCTTTTTCCTTTTTCTTTTTTCCTTTTCTTTTTTCCTTTTTCTTTTTTCCTTTTCTTTTTTCTTTTTTTCCTTTTCCTTTCCTTTTTTTCTTTTTTCCTTTTCTTTTTTTTCCTTTTTTCCTTTCCCCATAAAATAAACTGGGGAGGAAAAAGGTGGCAAGTTTAAATTGTTACCAATGTAGACATGGGCTGCATTAAAAACTTCAGAGCACTGACCTCCCTTGATCCTATCCTTTGATTTGTATGTTTGCATCTTTCCTATGGCCAACAGGATATGTAGTTTTGCTGGTTTAAGATTTATACCCAACTCACCCTTACTTGGTCAATTTCTGCATTTCTGCAATTTTTGGCTCAAGTTAGGGCTTGTTCACACTTGGCTGTTTTTACCAACGCTTGACAAACGCCCCTATAGCGTTTGGCAAGCGTTGGTCTGGCGTTTGCTGAGCGTTTTTTAACGCTCGGCAAACGCCGCATGCACGGTTTAGCGGCGGTTGCAAGGCGTTTGCCGAGCGTTAAAAAAAACACTTCACAAACGCCTATAATGAAGTTTGAATGGTGTTTACCGCTCCGCAAACACCCCACAACCGCATCGCAACCGCACCGCAAACGCCGTCTGGGCATTTGCGGAGCGGCACCATAGGCTAGAATAGGAGGCTTCGATGCCTCCTGACTCGACCAGAGGCGTCGGTTTTTGACGCGCCGCGACACTACCGCTCCCCGTTAGAACAGCACCATGTGCTGCAATGTACAGAATTGGCAGAGGCGTTTGGGAAGCGGTAAAAAAACGCTTCCCAAACGCCTCTCTGCCACCTGCACACAACGCTAGCGTGAACGTAGCCTTACTGTTGTGTTTTTTGTTTTTTTCCTGTGAAAATTAGCACATTTCATGTATCTATATACTTATACTGTATGTTCCAGTGCGGGCAGTGTGCCATTAAGTCTAATGGCACCCGCCCGCGGGTCCTGCATTTTGGGTGCGGGTGTTGCAGCTGCGGGACAAAGTGCGTAGTCACTTCCACCCGCACAAAGTGTGAACCGAGCCTATGTAAATCTCCCCCTCTGTTTCTGCCTTTTTGTTATGTACTTACTTTGTATAACATCTTAGGTTTTTTTTTTTTTTTTTTTTTTAATTCTACATTTAACAGAGGGCCTGACCCTCTCCCAAAAAAGTTTTGGTCACAAGTCTGGCTAAAATTACAAATTCTTTGGCAGGTTACAGTATTTGTAGCTGCTTTCCTGGTGTTCAGCTTTAACTTTGGGCTAATATTTCTATAAATGTATCATATTTTTTATTTTTCCTTTTTTATTTATTTTTTTGTAAAGTAACTCATTATTTTTTGTACAGGTCAGGAAGTGATGATATATAAATACATTTTGTTTTAGGAAGGCTGTGATATACATTTTAAATTTTGGCCTAAAGTCATTCATGGTAGCCAAGTCAAACTCTGTGTGGTATATAGACCTTCTTTGTGCCTCTCTCTTCCATATCTATATTCAAAAAAGATTCAAAGTCAATGCAGATTCCGAAATCTTTCCTTTGATAGCGGTCCACAGACTAAGTTTCTGTCTTGTGTTTACTTTCTAGTTACTACCTAAAAGAGTCCAAAGGGAGTCGGCGGTGGCTCGTCTTCTTGGAAGGTAAAAACTCAACTTTTTTTTTTTTTTCTTCATCATTGCTAGATGTTTTGGGCCTCCTGCCCAAACGGAGGAAGAGAAAATAAACAGAGCTTGCGGTGGAGAGTTGTAAGAACACCATTCGCTTCCAAAACACGTTCTTGAATGAATGAATGAACGAACGACATGTTAGCATGACCTCGGGTCAGAGGTTAAGTCCAGGCTTGGAGAGAACATAAGTCTAACCACTTCTTACACCGAGTAGCGATGGTGTTTGCCAATCAGCCGCTGTCCACATGAAAGCTTCTTCAGAAAGAAAAATATACTTTGCATTTTATTTCAGTTTATTTGCAGTTTTATATTACATACTCACTGGATTACGCTGTCAGAAGTCATCGAGAATATCATTTGTTTAGGGGGCCATGAAGTTGGTTCTACTGAGTTAAAAGCCTCTATTTTAAAGGGTCAGTCCACCCAAAGCTTAGGTTTCGGTTTACGGTTGGACTTGACTGATGATTTGCCTGCCTGTCATACCTGATTATATCAGAGCCAGGTTTTAGAAGTGCAAGGGGGGATTTATATTCCTTTGATCATGCTTGAAATGTCAGTTTGCAGGATGAAGTAGGAAGGGGGCCACAGAAGCATGCTTTCTGAGGGTTTTAGATGTTTGATGGCACTTGAGTTCATGTGCCATAGTAGTAAAAGAAAGGAATCGTGTTAATTGCTTGCATTTATTAATTACAGCAGCTTTAGGTTTAAAAAAAAAAAGCTCTTGGGAAGTCCATTGGCAAGATCTCCTTATTCAGACCACATCATCAACCACACTTTGTGTTTCATCTTGGCATTGCTAAGGTAGAAAAAAATCTGCAGTTTTTCCTTGCTTACTGGCCATGCGATGTTGGTAGTCTTTTGCTCTGCAGCCCTGGTTGCACACTGGTATCTCTGTTTCCTAAATCTCATAAGACTTAGATTTGCTTTCCTCAACCAGGGTTCCTCAAGAGCTTGCTAGGGTTTCCTTGGCCAATGAACAACATTTACTTCTCAGATGGGTTACTACTGACAACAGTGATATTTCTAGCTATCTGTAGAGGAAAATTATCACCTCCACTGACCGCCAATGTAAGGGGCGTTCTTCCCGCTGACCACCAATGTAATGGACCCTTCTCCACTGACCATCAAGCTAGGGAGCAGTTCTCCACTGGCCACTTGCAATGGAGCATCACGCTTGCCACCAGTGTTAGGATACACTAGACTAGACTGGAGTAAGGCGGCACTAGGCTGTCCGCTGGGGCGAGGCGGCACTAGGCTGTCCGCTGGGGCGAGGCTAGGCTGTCCGCTGGGGCGAGGCGGCACTAGGCTGTCCGCTGGGGCGAGGCGGCACTAGGCTGTCCGCTGGGGCGAGGCGGCACTAGGCTGTCCGCTGGGGCGAGGCGGCACTAGGCTGTCCGCTGGGGCGAGGCGGCACTAGGCTTTCCGCTGGGGCGAGGCGGCACTTTTTCATTAACCAGCAATGTGAGTAAGCACTTGCAAGTTATTTCAAGGGTGAATAGTACTGAGGACAATAGAGGAAGAGATGTGTGAACCAAACCGTGGTACTAACAAATACAGTATCTCACAGAAGTGAGTCCACCCCTCACATTTTTGTAAATATTTGATTCTATTTTTTTCATGTGACAACACTGAAGAAATGACACTTTGCTACAATGTAAAGTAGTCAGTGTACAGCTTGTATAACATGGAAATTTGCTGTCCCCTCAAAATAACTCAACACACAACCATTAATGTCTAAACCGCTGGCAACAAAAGTGAGTCCACCCCTAAGTGAAAATGTTCAAATTGGGCCCAAAGAGTCAATATGTTGTGTGGCCGCCATTATTTTCCAGCACTGCCTTAACCTTTTTGGGCATGGAGTTCACCATAGCTTCACAGGTTGCCACTGGAGTCCTCTTCCACTCCTCCATGACGACATCACGGAGCTGGTGGATGATAGAGACCTTGCACTCCTCCACCTTCCGTTTGAGGATGCCCCACAGATGCTCAATAGGGTTTAGGTCTGAAGACATGCTTGGCCAGTCCATCACCTTTACCCTCAGCTTCTTTAGCAAGGCAGTGGTCATCTTGGAGGTGTGTTTGGAGTCATTATCATGTTGGAATACTGCCCTGCGGCCCAGTCTCTGAAGGGAGGGGATCATGCTCTGCTTCAGTATATCACAGTACATGTTGGCATTCATGGTTCCCTCAATGAACTGTAGCTCCCCAGTGCTGGCAGCACTCGCACAGTCCCCAGACCATGACAATCCCACCACCATGCTTGACTGTAGACAAGACACACTTGTCTTTGTACTCCTCACCTGGTTGCCGCCACACACGCTTGACACCATCTGAACCAAATCAGTTTATCTTGGTGTCATCAGACCACAGGACATGGTTCCAGTAATCCATGTCCTTAGTCTGCTTGTCTGCAGCAAACTGTTTGCGGGCTTTCTTGTGCTTCATCTTTAGAAGGAGCTTCCTTCTGGGACGGCAGCCATGCAGACCAATTTGGTGCACTGCGCGGCGTATGGTCTGAGCACTGACAGGCTGACCTCCCACCCCTTCACCCTCTGCAGCACTGCTGGCTTTCACTTCTGTGAGATTCTGTATGTACTTTTGTTTATGCTGAGCTGGACATTCAGTATCCTTTTAAAGATAGCATTTTTCTTGGAGTCACCGTAGAATGTCCGTTTTAAAAGGCGGTTGTACTCTTTTGTATACGTTTTTTTCCTTTATTGAATCACGACACCCCACTGAGTGCAGCCGGCCTGGTAAACTACTTGCTAAGAACCTCTAGGTTGACCTAGGTTGGAGACATTATGTGTACTTCCTCCCCATTCAAATGATGTTTGCATTGTGGCCTTGCCCAATAGCATAAAGCCTTCCCTCTGAAAACACGTTCCAAGTCCTTGTTTTAGTGTGCATGACTCTACAACCTCATTCATTCCTATAGAAGAGCTCTTCTCATGGTAGGCTGTAGCTGTCCAGTGGAGTATGCCTCTCCCTCAGGTATGAAAGGGTATCTGCATTTAGAAGACACAGCAGGGACTCTCTCTGGGGAATAGGTTGGGCATCCTGGGCCCAGGGCGAGGAAGGTCGGCATGTAACCAGGTGGGCTCTACTCATGCAGTGGGGGAATTTCTTAAAGAACAACATGTACTAAAGAGGCGGTTGTCCTCTTAAGGTCCAGGTGTTTTTCACCATGGCATCACTAGGAGGTTAGGTTGAGGGTGAGTTAGCTGTAACAGACACAGTTCTTTTCTTTTTTTGGAAATGGGATGATTTTTTTTTTTTTGTCTTTAGAAGTAGCAACGTGAGACTAAGTGGGTATTTTGATTGGGGCTCGGTAAGGCACCCCCCTCCACTGACAGCACCTGCTGATGGACCACATTGATACTGTACCCAGAGGTGTATTTACCACAAGGCATTTGCCTAGGGCGGCAATTTTTAGGGGGGCATCTCTGTCCCCTGGAAGAAGGGACATATGTGGCATGGGGCCCAGGTGGGATCTGAGAGAGGCTGCGGGCTGCTTGATGGTGTATGCAGAGCCTGATTGTCGTTCCTGGGGATGTCCAGAGCTGTGAAGGTGTCACGCTCTCTCTGAGGGGGGGGCATCCGATTTTTTTTTTTTTTTTTTTGCCTAAGGCAGCACAAAACCTAAATACACCACTGACTATACCCTGCATTGTGAGACGGAACAAGCTGTGCAGTTACCCCATACCATTGGGTTTGTCATAGAGATTTGGCATAAGAGGAACCATTGATCAGCTTGTGAGGTATGCTTTTAAAGGTAATTTTTTTTTTTTTTTTTTTTCATTTTCACATCTATGGGTGAAATAGATTTTTTTTTTAAAACCTCGGTTCATATGTACAGTATACCTTGTAAACTAAATATCTACAGATTGCAGCCATGTATGTTCATTAAGCAGTCTCTACTTCCCAGTTTGCAGTGCTGCACAATGGTCGTGCTTTACATCTCCTTCTCACAATGCAAGTTTATGGAGAAGATTTACTAAAACTGGTGCACACAGAATCTGGTGCGGCTGTGCATAGTAGTTAATCAGCTTCCAGGTTTTACTGTAAAAGATTCATTGAGCAAGCTGAGGATAGAACCTGGTGCAGCTGTTCATAGTAACCAACCGGCTTCTGAGTTCACCAGTTTTAGTAAATCTCCCCCTATGAGTTGGCCAATGGAAGCGATTTGCAAAATGGATGTTTACTCCCCCTAGTGGCAAATTGACATATCTCTTTATTAAATACCATTAAAAATATGGAATATAAGGCATGTTAAAATATATGAAAAGTCACCCCAAAATTTATACTACTATAGGAACTCAGAATATGCCCAACTGAAAATTCTACAATTACCCATAAGGCTTCGTGGGATGGTAAAATGCAGATGGACTGGCATTGTGTCCCTGCTGTAAGGCTGCTATGACTCATGAAGCCAAGGCCTCATGTGGCTCATAAGTCACTGGTCTAAGGCACAGGCGCACATTAATGTTTAGGGGGAAAAAAATTGACAAACTGCTAAACTTGATCAATCTAAACTGTGTGCATATTTTATGAATATACTGCTACTTTACTGACTGTAATCCTCTATCGCCGCTCGCTGTTAGGTGGCTGGTACTGCATCAACCGGGAAAACTGTGACTTGCGCTATGACACCATGAGGAGACTCATGAGCTCAAAAGGGTGGCCAGCCACGAAAACTGGTGAGTGTTCCAATGCTTACCTCTCTTCATCCCAGTGTGCTAAACCGTCTTTTTACCCATGATGCAGTTCTTTGTGCTTTAGCCCTTACCATGTAACTCCTTCCATTGTCTGTCACTCTCGTGTCATGCTTGTATGCCCTTTCCCCGTTCCACACACGTGTTTTTGCGTCAAGCTTCATTTCATATTTCAGCTTCAGGGATTTTGTCAACCCAGCCCGAGGAGAATCCACATTGGTGGAACGCCAATATGGTGTAAGTATCGCCTATGTCCTGTCTGCCATATTACATTCATAATCGTTATTCAGAACTGAGTCGGAGTTGGTGCCTGGGGTGCTTCTTACCACTGTGACCTTTCTTTTCTTCTGCAGATTCATCCCCTATTGTTCTAGCGATGTCTGGAGCGGAGCCACTCCGAAATCTGAGAAAAGTAAGTATTGATCTATCCATTTTGTGGCTATTTAAAGATGTGCCCATGTTTGATAACCTGTTTTGCACAAGTTGGACTATTGGTTATGTAGCACTACCCCCATAGGGGTTGCTGATGAATTGGGTCCCCCTATAGTCCTGCATAGTCAGGCAATCTGCATCCAGAGTCAGAAATTGTTCCTTGAGCTTTGTTTTGTTGTTTTATTGAGGGGATTTAGAACTTGGATAGGGTAAGGTGGGTATAGGATGCCCAAGGGACCCGACAACTGAGGACAAACTTTCTGGAACTATTCACAAGCTTTCTCTGTAGCACAGTCTCTGTTGGAGAGCTAGCCAGCATATCCAAAATGTACCACCCAAGACCCTAGATGAAATTCTCCTCTTCACCCAGCAATCTGGAGGTTTTCCACAGCAGAGGATCTGGCTCCTGTCCCTTTAAATAGGTGAACAGTCACAAGTAGGGTGCTGATCTGACTTCCCACCAGAGTGCTCCTTTCCCTGTCTGCTTATGGGGTGCAGGTGTATTTGCTCAGATCCTCTACTGTACCGGTTGTGGGCTGGCTGCTGCCACCAGGCCTATCAGCTGGGCTTCTCCTTCCCTGCTATGCAGGTGGTCCTCACTCAAGGGGCCAAGCTTTCCAGCTCCAGGCTCGCAGGCAGGCCCCGTCTTACGAAGCCTCCTACAGCCTCCTTCCTCACAGCCCCACATCTTCCTCTCGAGCTCTCCCTCCAACTCTCCACACACTACTTACTGAGCAGGCTCCAACACTTTTTAGGGATGTCCAGCCCCTTTTCAACCTCTTGTTGGGGATTGGCTAGAACCCTTCAAGAGTGCAGCCAGCCACTTCTCAGATCCACCCACTGCCTCTAAGGCTTTCCTCCAAAAACCCCAGAGCAGGGGGAAATTCCAGAGGGGCTGGCCTGCAGAGCCTTTCAGCCCTGACCACAATTTGACCCCTCTGGCTATTACACCTGGGCTGCTGCTCAGCCCCTGTCTAACCATTAGGATCTAGCTCCCTCTAACTAAACTAAGAAGGTGTTACAGTTAATTCATGGACCTGCTCTGCATTCAGCCTAAGGGGCATTTTATATTGAAATACCATGTCGCCAAAAATTTGGCTTGCAGTTATGGCATGGCCCCAGGGGCGGACTGACCATTTGGAAACTCGGGCACTGCCCCAGGGCCCGGGGTCAGTAGGGGGGCCCATGAGATGCCCCTGGTACCTTTTTCATAGGCTTTTTTGAGTTTGCGCAAGGACACAGGGGCCTCATGATCCCCTATTGCCCGGGGGCCCCATGAGTTGTCAGTCCACCCCTGCATGGCCCTATTCACTTGAATGAGTCGTGTTTGTTGGTGGTACTACCTGCTAAAGCATAAATCGCCAACACACCATGATCTTCAAAATGGCACCAAAAATGTAATAAAGAGGTAACATCACAGCAGTAAATAGCAATTTGAATTTGAAGATCCAGGGTGTGATTTTGAAAATGTGTGTGCTTTGAAATTTTGAAGATCCATGGTATGCTGGCGATATATGCTTTGACCTGTGTAAACATCGATTCCCAGCCA